AAACAAACTTTCAACACAAAACAGAACACGAAACAATGGGTATTGAAGGTAAGAATGGAAGTAATTGCAGAGGGCCTATTGGCCCATATTTCTTGATGCTTCTATATTGGAGCGGGTATAAAAATTCAAAGATGTTTAAGCTCTATTCAGTTATAGTTCAGTTGTGTGTGTGTAAACTATAAAGTCTTTGAAAATGTAATAAGTTTTACGAAACGCGCTCAAGTGTCGCGTCAGACTAGAAATAAAAATGAATTTTGGAGAATTGATTTTTCAATTACCATCAACAGTGAAAAGAAACATAAGAAAGATCGAGAAAATTCGTGTTAGAATTATTAATCTTACTTTCTTGGTCATTATTTAATAATAATATATATATATATATATATATATATATATATATATATATATATATATATATATATATATATATATATATATATATATATAGGGTTAAGTCCTATTACACTAAGCTGGTTCCTCTTCTCAGAACCCAGATGAGGCTACGACATGAATATTTGGTTATCACTGAGCATCAAAGGTGCTTACGCGGTCCTCAGCCCTTCAAGACACTCTCAGGGCCACTTGGCTTAGTTTGGCACTAATCTCCCCTCTCACAGCATCTCCGGTAGAGGTCTGGAGGGTGGCTTTAACTCAGGGTGTTTTTCTCTAGCTTCTCTCCACGGCGCCTCAGGTTGTGGACTGCAGATCGGAGAGTTACTTGGAACCTCGATGTAAGCCTATTCCTCCAGCCAAAATTTTTGAAAAGTAGAAAATGATTTCGGCTGCACTAAGAATACTGAAGCCCAAGAACAGGCCAAGAAGACCCCCGATGTTGGCTGAAAATAAATAACAGATGAATAAGTAAGATAGTAAAAAAAATAATATAATAACAGCATTGAGTTTGTTTATACCATAAAGACATTAAACATATTACATTTTGAAGGAGAAATGGCATTTCCAATTGTGATTTTGAAGCAGCTTAAACAGCAGTGAACATCTTGATAAAGATGGAGACCAGAGTCATCGGTAGTCACATAAAAATATTTTTAAATTTGTAGGCTAATTTGGCAGCAGACATTACATTCAGACGCTTACCAACAATTTGACTGACAGAGGCGATGATGTCCCTTTTGTAGAGGGTAAAGGTTGAGTACTCGAAATACACGTGAACCAGGACACCGTTCTTCCTGTGATGAGAACGTTACACATACAGATTACAGCAAGTATTTTCTTGACAAATACAAAAAATACTTAAAACAAAAAATATATACTTTAAAAACACATGAATCCTCTTTAAAACATATGTTCCATTTAAATACTTTAAAAGGGCTAAAGTTTATAAAATGCAACCAAGCTCATTTTATTACAAACACACACACACACACACACACACACACACACACACACACACACACACACACACACACACACACACACACACACACACAGGTGTTGAATTAAAGATTAACTGGCTGCTTCACCTGGCAATAATATCAACAGAATACGGAAATTCACGAAGAACATTTCAGCTCTTGAGAATACGTCGGCTGGAAGGTTGCCATAAAACGCCAAGAATTGCCACAATATTAATTTTACCAACATAACGGATAAAGCCTATTATGTCATAAGTCAACTTTAGAATCCAACATTTGAAGCCATTTAAGAATCCGCTGAAGCAGCTTCATTCAGAATGAGAGCAGCTGCTTCAAAAGCAGGAGCATCTATATCTCCAAGGTATGAACAGCTGTTTCCTAAGTATAAACAGTTGTTTCTGAGGTAGGAACAGGTGTTTCCATGGTAGGAACAGTTGTTTGTGAGGAAAGAACAACTGTTTCTGCTGTAAGGACAGCTGTTTCCGAGGTAAGAACAGCTGTTTCTGAGGTAGATAGAGCCGTTTCTGTGGTTGGAACAGCTCATTCTGAGTTAGAAACAGCTGTTTATAAAGAAGGAACAGCTGTGTCTGTAGTAGGAACAGCTGGTTTTGAGGAAGGAACAGATGTTTCTGAGGTTGTAACTGTTGTTTCTGTAGTAGAAACAGCTATTTCTCAAGTAGGAACAGCTGTTTCTGAAGTAGGAACAGCTGTTTTGAGGTAGAAACAGCTGTTTCTGAGGTAGTAACAGCTTTTTTTGAGGTAGGATCCGCTGTTTCTGAAGTAGGAGCAGCTGTTTTCTGACGGAATGACACGGGTGCGTTATTATGGCATGAAAGCAAAAATTCTCCTTAACATATATTCTGTGTTTGAGCATCAGACTTTACCCCTCTCGAGGCCTCTAGTGTTGGTGGCACTCAAGTCTTCCTGTGCCCAAGAGTATTGAGAATTAAGATTAATTTTGTGGTTTTGGGTTTAAGGTCTTTCAATCTTTGGAGGATTATTAAGGTAACCATAACAGCTTAATGAGCAGCCTGCAAGTATACTTTAGTCCTGTTCCCAGTCCAGTACTAAGGTAAACTCACAATATATAAATACACTGAGAAGCAAGTATACTTTACATACACTGAGAAGCAAGTATACTTTACATACACTAAGAAGCAAGAAATACATCTTCCCGAGTAAAGAATCAAGAGTCAACTTACTCAATATAGTTGCTGAGAACTTGAACCACATTGGGGTTGTCCTCCAGCAGGTGCTCAAGTTCCTCCTCGTCCTTGAGGTGACACAGCTTCCTCACCTCACTCTTGTGGTCAGCACGCGCGGGGACACATACACAGCGAGTAATATTACTCATATAGCGAGCACATTAGAAATTAACCATAGTATGAGAAATATAAAATTTGATTACGTGTAAAAGTGTGGAATGTTACACATAATAATATTTATTCCTGAATGATACTTTATCAGATTACAATGATTGCATATTAAAATAATAATGTTATTGAGTATAAAAGAATTATTATAAATCAATAACTTTGGTCTTCAGTAAATATGAAATTGTATATTTTTATGAAGGTCGTAAACACTGGGTACCAACATGCAGGTGAGCAGCATGAGTGTTCTAACAGTGTTATTTCGTGTTATTGAGGTGGTGGCAGTTACTGAGGCTCCTTGCCCTCACCTTATAGTACCTATGTGCCATGATCTACAAGACCAAAGTTGTTGGAAATTTCCAACACTAACAAACTACTATTGTATTATAATACATCATCATTATTATATACTAACTACAGTAGTTACTAATTTCACTAACAGCAGTGTCAACATAAATTAACCATTTCATCTGCGTATTAGTGCTAGAATTCTCATGAAATCGAGTAGCAACATTGCGTCAGATAATATCTAGATAAACACGTTTATTACCAATGGGTTAGAGAATTGAATATGGTTCTCTAAAATTACCAGTATTCCGTGTAATAATTACTTACGGATAATATTACTCTCAATAATCTCAAACCGAGAGTTATTAACTAAAATTGTTATGTAGTAGCAGTCCTTTCTGTTACGTACGAATGTCATGGAGAAAAATAAAATCTTCTCCAGTTCTCGTTTAACACCATAAAACGAGAATATGATAATATTTAAATCCCTATAATTGCAACCCAGTTCTCATTAACGTATTACATCCATAATTGCGCGGAAAAGAATTATTCGTGATTAATAATTTCTGTGGTGAATGCGAGAGACGGGTTGAGGGAGGCGGCGACGCCATTGTGCGAGAGAGGGGATCCCTGGCGTGAAGAGTGGCGAGACATGTGGTAGTGACTGGGGAATTTATCGGCAAGAATTACGCTAATACTCGGTCAACAGTTAATAATTACTTATCCACGTGTTCTATAGTGCCCAGCCAGTTAATAACGCGTCAATAATTGAAGCCAAGACCCGTAATTACACGTACACAGCAGTGGACGTCAGGGCTGGCTGACGCGGTTCCAGCAGACCTCAGTATTCAATACGCTCATGTTAAGTATATGTTTCTCGTTTGATGCATCATCCTAGATTATATATTTGTGAGTAGTTTGTCGTCATATAGCGAGGAGACCCAATATACGACGTTAGTAAAAGTTCGACAATTTCCTCCGTTTTTATGGATATTGAAAATAAAATGTAGCCTATTCAAATGCTACTTAAATTTCTCTGATTTCAGCGTGTATACGAGGAGTCATCAAGTTGTTTCTCTTCATTCGTGATATTCACCTCGAGTTCTTTCTTTGTGGAGATCCTGTGAACACGAGGACGAATGACGAAATGATGTTACCGAAATCGTCTTAAAGCTAAGACCTTTTTCGTACAAATTTATTTAATATGATTTTGATTCTTATATACTTCCTGTAGAATCTTTGCTTTGAATAGATTATTACCAGAAATGATGATTGGTAATTAATGTATTTGCTCTGACTGTTGCTCAGTTATTCATGATCTTTAATATTCACAATTTGAGTTCTCGTATTTGAATCTATAGTAGTTTAGATTTATAATATCATTTACTCAGCAATGAACTGGTGGCGAACCACACTGGTTCCTAGATGTATATGAATTTCTAGAAATACCCCCCCAATGTAGGTCTCTGAGGCTCTGACTTTAATTAATTAATAATACAGTCCATTCATTATTTCAAGTGATTATCCTTTTAATGATTATCCATAGACACTGGTTCTCTAGTGTTATCCTAATGATCACTTTATTAGTTTTTCCTCTTTTCTCAAAAGTGGGTGGTCCTTCGATATATTAAATCAAATAAGTAAATAATTGAATATATGAGTCAAGCCCCAGATATCCCACAAAAGTGGCCTGGACCGACCAGTATCCCCTGAGTGGAGTGCTGGATGCTCTCCGAGGCAGCACCATCATGGCGTCCGTCGACTTCTTAGAAGATGGCGGCGGAGCTGGACTGATCTTCTCTATTCAAGAAGTACTCCAGAGGCTCCTCACCCTTGTAACTCAGACCCCCAGGAAGAGGTGAACCTCCTACTCCAATTACCACGCCGTTAACAGCCTGAGAGTACCAGTTTCATCACATACCTTCATCACCGAAATTGTTGAGAGCTTCAGCACCCTATACCCACCATGTCTGCTGTTTCAGCATCAGGCTTCTGGAGGGAAGCCACGCAGCCATCAACGATGAAGCAGACATTCAACTCTCCAGATGAACCAACCATTGCTGAAGAAAATGGCTTCAGGCACTTCGGCATCTCAACGACACCAAGTCAAAATGAAAATTGAAGAAATGCTTCCAACACAAACAAAATACTACAGTGCAATGTAGTTTAACCATGTAGAACAGTTGCAGAGCTTTTGTGCATGTCGTGGTGTAGCGGTCTAAGGCGTGTGCTTGGTAGTACACTGAACATAAGTTCTAATGCTCTTCACGGGACATTGTCTCAGTGCTAAAGGGTTTGTAAATATGACCAATATTCACAGAAGTGTTCACTACACGGAGAACGCAGCATCTGCTCACTCGACACTCCGGGGACTGTCAATCACCCCATCAACGATGCATCGCTCGTTACAGTTTTTTTTTTTTTAGATATATACAAGAGTTGTTACATTCTTGTACAGCCAATAGTACGCGTAGCGTTTCGGGCAGGTCCCTGGAATACGATCCCCGCCGCGAAGAATCGTTTTTTCATCCAAGTACACATTTTACTGTTGCGTTAAACAGAGGCTACAGTTTAGGATTTGCGCCCAGTAAATCCTCCCCGGCCAGGATACGAACCCATGACATAGCGCTCGCGGTGTGTGTCTCGTTATGAGGCGATACAGTTAACTGTGTCACAACACCGAGTGCCAGTACACCAGTCCGCCCTCCTAACGTCCCCAACGTCAAGAAACTGTTGTACTAAAGTGCCCCTTATCCTATAACCTACCAGAGGATCCGAAACAGAAAACGGGACAGTCTGTCGATTTTGGAAGCCGCTACTATTTTCTAGTACGACCATTTTTGGCCTTAGGTGCAGTATACGTCAAAATGCGACGTTCTATTAGGAGGACGGGTTGTTAGTAGCCACCAACGAGTGCTGCTACACTACGGCCAAACAATTGTGTAGACCATACCGAGCCACGACGTGAAACAGTACAGTTTTTGTACTGTTCAACCTGCTGATAGAATTACAGAGATTGAAAAGAAGCATATTTGTTCAGGCAATTATGAATTACTAACGGAAAGTTGCTTGGCAACCGGAGCAGCACACGTTCATCTCCAACACGCTCCTGCAACACTAACTGCAGCATCCTCTGGTCCTGCAACACTAACTGCAGCATCCTCTGGTCCTGCAACACTAACTGCAGCATCCTCTGGTCCTGCAACACTAACTGCAGCATCCTCTGGTCCTGCAACACTAACTGCTGCATCATCTGGTCCTGCAACACTAACTGCAGCATCCTCTGGTCTTGCAACACTAACTGCAGCATCCTCTGGTCCTGCAACACCAACTACAACACCTCCTGGTCCTACAACACCAACTACAACACCTCCTGGTCCTGCAACACCAACTACAACACCTCCTGGTCCTACAACACCAACTACAACACCTCCTAGTCCTGCAACACTTCCTGGTCCTGCAACACCAACTACAACACCTCCTGGTCCTGCAACACCAAGTACAACACCTCCTGGTCCTACAACACCAAAATACAGCACCTCCCGACTGCTATAAACCCGTCACTGACCATTGTTCCACAAACTACGATACCTTCTGTACCGGAATCATCTGAAGCTGCAGTACCCGACTAATACCACTACATCATCCACTATACCATCACTATATCATCACTATATCATCTGCAATTCCTGCAGGCTAGGGAGCCGTTCGGCCGAGCGGACAGCACACTGGACATGTGATCCTGTGGTCCTGGGTTCGATCCCAGGCGCCGGCGAGAAACAATGGGCAGAGTTTCTTCCAACCTATGCCCCTGTTACCTAGCAGTAAAATAGGTACCTGGGTGTTAGTCAGCTGTCACGGGCTGCTTCCTGGGGGTGGAGGCCTGGTCGAGGACCGGGCCGCGGGGACACTAAAAAAAAAAAGCCCCGAAATCATCTCAAGATAACCTCAAGATAGATCTTTCCTCTGAAGCCATGATGCAGACTCGGGTGATAGCGACACCAACAGCATATCGACGAGGAGACAAATCATCGAGAAGAGGAAAGAATACGATATATAAAGAATCAAGAATAAGAAGCATGAAGAATGAAGAACAGGAAAGAAGAATGAAATCTCCACTATCACAGCCACGCCTCCCGTCATCACCCCCCCCCCCTGTCACCTTACACAGCACAGCAACAAGTCCTGTCTCTCCTCCTACAGCGACGCCCGTCTCTTCTTGATGATAGTAGACAGTGTATCTTCTGATCCTTCTTATGTATCCTGATATAGACTTCTTTATAGTTCTTCTTGGACTATATACCCACTTCACGTTGGCCATTTCGACTATACTCATAATCCCGCTCATAATATATTATTTTCAATATGAGGACATATTATTATCCTGATGTTACAGGATAGAACTTTTCAAAGGAATGGAACTGGTGCAACGGGATAAAACATATTGGGATAGCGGGATATTACATTGAATAACGTGACATAACCTTGAATAACAGGACAGAACACTGATTAACGAGACAGAACACTGACTAACGAGACAGAACACTGAATACCGGGATATAAACTTGAATAACGGGACAGAACACTGAATACCGGGATATAAACTTGGATAACAAGACAGAACACTGAAAAACAGGACAGAACACTGAATAACGGGACACAACACAGAATAACGGGACACAACACAGAATAACGGGACAGAACACAGAATAACGGGACACAACACAGAATAACGGGTACACAACACAGAATAACGGGTACACAATACAGAATAACGGGACACAACACAGAATAACGGGACACAATACAGAATAACGGGACACAACACAGAATAACGGGACACAACACAGAATAACGGGTACACAATACAGAATAACGGGTACACAATACAGAATAACGGGTACACAATACAGAATAACGGGACACAATACAGAATAACGGGTACACAATACAGAATAACGGGTACACAATACAGAATAACGGGACACAACACAGAATAACGGGTACACAATACAGAATATCGGGACACAACACAGAATAACGGGACAAAACACAGAATAACGGGACACAATACAGAATAACGGGACACAACACAGAATAACGGGACACAACACAGAATAACGGGTACACAATACAGAATAACGGGACACAATACAGAATAACGGGACACAATACAGAATAACGGGACACAATACAGAATAACGGGACACAATACAGAATAACGGGTACACAATACAGAATAACGGGACACAATACAGAATAACGGGTACACAACAGAATAACACACAATACAGAATAACGGGACACAATACAGAATAACGGGACACAACACAGAATAACGGGACACAATACAGAATAACGGGTACACAACACAGAATAACACAATACAGGGACACAACGGGTACACAATACAGAATAACGGGTACACAATACAGAATAACGGGACACAACACAGAATAACGGGTACACAATACAGAATAACGGGACACAACACAGAATAACGGGACACAACACAGAATAACGGGACACAATACAGAATAACGGGACACAACACAGAATAACGGGACACAATACAGAATAACGGGACACAACACAGAATAACGGGACACAACACAGAATAACGGGACACAACACAGAATAACGGGACACAACACAGAATAACGGGACACAACACAGAATAACGGGACACAACACAGAATAACGGGTACACAACACAGAATAACGGGTACACAACACAGAATAACGGGTACACAATACAGAATAACGGGTACACAATACAGAATAACGGGTACACAATACAGAATAACGGGTACACAACACAGAATAACGGGTACACAATACAGAATAACGGGTACACAATACAGAATAACGGGACACAACACAGAATAACGGGTACACAATACAGAATAACGGGTACACAATACAGAATAACGGGACACAACACAGAATAACGGGTACACAATACAGAATAACGGGTACACAATACAGAATAACGGGACACAATACAGAATAACGTGACACAACACAGAATAACGGGTACACAACACAGAATAACGGGTACACAATACAGAATAACGGGTACACAACACAGAATAACGGGACACAATACAGAATAACGGGTACACAATACAGAATAACGGGTACACAATACAGAATAACGGGACACAATACAGAATAACGGGACACAACACAGAATAACGGGACACAACACAGAATAACGGGACACAACACAGAATAACGGGACACAACACAGAATAACGGGACACAACACAGAATAACGGGTACACAATACAGAATAACGGGACGGGACACAACACAGAATAACGGGACACAACACAGAATAACGGGACACAACACAGAATAACGGGACACAACACAGAATAACGGGACACAACACAGAATAACGGGTACACAATACAGAATAACGGGTACACAATACAGAATAACGGGACACAACACAGAATAACGGGACAGAACTGGAATAACGCGAGAAACCACTGAGGAACTGTAAATAACGGAATAAAAAGCATTATATAACAAGTAAAATCTAATTTAACTGAAGATGAAAATAAAAATTATATAATTACACTATAAAATAACAAATGCATAACAAGGAATAAAGAGAACATAGAGATAAGACTTGAATAATTATATTCCAAACACTGGTCAGAGCGAATACATCCGGCCTGGTTGGCTTCTGATGGCAAAACATCCGGCCTGGTTGGCTTCTGATGGCAAAACATCCGGCCTGGTTGGCTTCTGATGGCAAAACATCCGGCCTGGTTGGCTTCTGATGGCAAAACATCCGGCCTGGCTGGCTTCTAATGGCAAAACATCCGGCCTGGCTGGCTTCTAATGGCAAAACATCGGGCCTGGCTGGCTTCTAATGGCAAAACATCCGGCCTGGCTGGCTTCTGATGGCAAAACATCCGGCCTGGCTGGCTTCTGATGGCAAAACATCCGGCCTGGTTGGCGTCTGATGGCAAAACATCCGGCCTGGTTGGCTTCTGATGGCAAAACATCCGGCCTGGTTGGCTTCTGATGGCAAAACATCCGGCCTGGTTGGCTTCTGATGGCAAAACATCCGGCCTGGTTGGCTTCTGATGGCAAAACATCCGGCCTGGTTGGCTTCTGATGGCAAAACATCCAGCCTGGCTGGCTTCTAATGGCAAAACATCCGGCCTGGTTGGCTTCTGATGGCAAAACATCCGGCCTGGCTGGCTTCTGATGGCAAAACATCCGGCCTGGCTGGCTTCTGATGGCAAAACATCCGGCCTGGTTGGCTTCTAATGGCAAAACATCCGGCCTGGTTGGCTTCTAATGGCAAAACATCCGGCCTGGCTGGCTTCTGATGGCAAAACATCCGTCCTGGCTGGCTTCTGATGGCAAAACATCCGGCCTGGCTGGCTTCTAATGGCAAAACATCCGGCCTGGCTGGCTTCTAATGGCAAAACATCCGTCCTGGCTGGCTTCTGATGGCAAAACATCCGGCCTGGCTGGCTTCTGATGGCAAAACATCCGGCCTGGCTGGCTTCTAATGGCAAAACATCCGGCCTGGCTGGCTTCTAATGGCAAAACATCCGGCCTGGCTGGCTTCTAATGGCAAAACATCCGGCCTGGCTGGCTTCTGATGGCAAAACATCCGTCCTGGCTGGCTTCTAATGGCAAAACATCCGTCCTGGCTGGCTTCTAATGGCAAAACATCCGGCCTGGCTGGCTTCTAATGGCAAAACATCCGGCCTGGCTGGCTTCTGATGGCAAAACATCCGGCCTGGCTGGCTTCTGATGGCAAACCATCCGGCCTGGCTGGCTTCTGATGGCAAAACATCCGGCCTGGCTGGCTTCTAATGGCAAAACATCCGGCCTGGCTGGATACTGATGGCAAAACATCCGGCCTGGTTGGCTACTGATGGCAAAACATCCGGCCTGGTTGGCTACTGATGGCAAAACATCCGGCCTGGCTGGCTACTGATGGCAAAACATCCGGCCTGGTTGGCTACTGATGGCAAAACATCCGGCCTGGTGACGTAGTGTCGATGTTTACCAATGTGATTTAATATCACTATAAAAATGGAGATTTTAAATGAATATTAAACACTTGTGCCCACAAAAATAGTTAATACTATACAATCCACAACAATATTAGGTAAAATATATCTATTAAATTATACGACAATTCAGCTGAGTAGGAGGCCTGGTCGACGACCGGGCCGCGGGGACACTAAGCCCCGGAAGCACCTCAAGGTAGGTTTCGTTCAATCATACACCCGCCCGTCCTCTTAAGATTTCCCATCGTCAAGAAACTGTCGAACTAAAGTGTCCTTATCCTAACCAAACCTTGAGGTTACCTTGAGGTGCTTCCGGGGCTTAGCGTCCCCGCGGCTCGGTCGTCGACCAGGCCTCCTGGTTGCCGGACTGATCAACCAGGCTGTTGGACGCGGCTGCTCGCAGCCTGACGTATGAGTTACAACCTGGTTGATCAGGTATCCCTGATCATACACAAGATTTTCACTGTAGTTCATTTTTTGTTTATTAAAACTACATTTTGCTAGGCTAGACTGGAGTAGGTTGAGTTGGGTTAGGCTAGGTTAGGTTGGGTTGCACTGAGTTAGGATGGTTGGCTTGAGTTTGGCTGGGTTGGGTTAAGTTAGGCTGGGTTCGTGTGTGTTACGAATCATCAAGTGTACGAAATGACCCGCCTCATCCTAGGAAATAAATGTGATAACATACAAATGAGGAATGTTGGGTACCTCGTCCAGGAAGCCCAGACGGCACATGGTGTCGACGGTGGGCATCAGGAACCTGAGGCCAAGCCAGGTCTTCTCCATGTTGGGTGAGGGCAGGGAGGCGTAGCTTGGGGTGGCCATGTAGGTGGTGGAGTTGCACCCCGAGTAGCAGGAGTCGCTCACGCTCTCCGAGTGGATGTCATTCAGATGCCAAGCTTCTGTGGAGAATAGGGTCTAAGACCTGAGAAAATTTATTACCCCCTCTACGTCATCGCTACTTGGTAAACTAACCTAACTCATACCAACCTAACTCTCTTTAACCTAACCTAACCCATCTCAAACTAACTCTATTTAACCTAACCTGACCCAACCCATCCCAGCTTATCCCTACTTAACCTAATCTATCCTAACCTATCTCTATTTAACTTAATCTGATCAAAAGTCTGAGGGAGGGCAGGCAATCCAGGAGAGGGGTGCATATGCTTGACTAGAGCGAACATGTCCTTCATATAAGGTTTTGCTGCCTTAGCTGTCAAGAAGATGTGAGATGACCTACAGTGTTGTAAGTTTCCTAGCTACCCTTTGTACTAGGATAAGCACGTGCCTTTTCAGTTTGTTACGTGGATCGTTTAAATATGCTCCTCGTCCGTTCATTAAGAGTCATATTCTCCCATGAACATAACCAAGAAGGCATCTTGTTTCGTTTAATAACATTTAGAGGGAGGTGAGATGCCAAAGATTTGAATTATTTAAGTTCGTTGGAGAGGAGGGGAGAGTGAACACTGCAGCAAATATGGCGGATCGGCTAAGGGATGAGATGACAAATACCCGCAAAATACTTCAGACGCGGTGCAACCCACTCTCGCATAAGACAGCACATATATGACTTATTGCTTATAGTCACTATTTCGCTTATAATTAATTACATACGTGACATATTCCAAGCCATATTTTTTTCAAGGCACTAACTTCTCCTCTTAGTTTTTTTAAACAATAGAGATTTTATACAAAATTTGACAATGTCCTGAGTGACATTACATATTATTTAAATATTTTAATTTTGTTTAATTATTTTTATAAAACTGTAATATCAATATAGGTAAAGGTTCAGTGCTAATTGTAATATCTTAACATACTAAGAAGGTTAGGTTTAGTTGTGGTTTTCTAATCAGCTTTTCAAGGTAAACTAAAAATATTCACAATAAATTAGTATGTCACATATGCACTTATTCATAAGCAAGATAAGTGCTTATGATAAGTGCTAGTTCTCGCACTAAGAAAGTGCGAGAACGGGTTGCGCGGTGACACTGTGTCACCTGGTTTTGGGGGAATATGATTGGTCGAATGCGTGTGTGTGTATTCATTTTGACCAATCATTGAGCGCCCATGGCCTGACGTAGTGACCAATCAGTGAGCGCCCATGGCCTGACGTAGTGATCAATCAGTGAGCGCCCATGGCCTGACGTAGTGACTAATCAGCGAGCGCCCATGGCCTGACGTAGTGATCAATCATTGAGCGCCCATGGCCTGACGTAATGATCAATCATTGAGCGCCCATGGCCTGACGTAGTGACCAATCAGTGAGCGCCCATGGCCTGACGTAATGAAACGTCAGCGCCCAAGGTTCTTGACAGAGCTGGACTGGAACAGGTCACAAGAAGCTCAGGGACGTGTATGTCTCAAGAGGCGGAGCTGGGGGCTCGGGCGATGATCCGCGGACCGTTCCTAGTGGTGAAATTGTGAGGTTTCCCCACCAAGGGAAACCTCACAATTTTGTTTGTGTGGAGGGAATACCCCTAGGGGGAAACCTCAGAAATTTTGGGTGGCAAGTCCTGGTCTCAGTGGCTCTGCAGCAGAGCAGCCCTGGGGAAAACAAGTGAGCTAAGGCATTTCTACAGGGGAGAAGGAGACCGGAAATCAGAGTGGAAGACGAATGAAGGTCTGGGAGACATTCGCCGAACCTTAGTAAGATTGTCTGAGGAGATCAATCATCGGAGGTGCGTCGACCAGCTGCCAGAAGATATGTGCATTGCTTTACAACAGAAGACTCAGAAGGAACTCCACAGGAACCACATAGTTTTTAATGCTCCTAGAGGGACCATAGTAGATGCCCCTAGAGGGACCATAGTAGATGCTCCTAGATGGAGCATAGTAGATGCCCCTAGAGGAAACATAGTAGATGCTCCTAGAGGGAACATAGTAGATGCTCCTAGAGGGAGCATAGTAGATGCTCCTAGAGGGAGCATAGTAGATGCCCCTAGAGAGAGCATAGTAGATGCCCCTAGAGTGAGCATAGTAAATGCTCCTAGAGGGAGCATAGTAGATGCCCCTAGAGGGAGCATAGTAAATGCTCCTAGAGGGAGCATAGTAGATGCCCCTAGAGGGACCATAGTAGATGCCCCTAGAGGGAGCATAGTGAATGCATAACAGCAAGTCCACCAACATCTTGATGGAGTTGGAGTTTCAGATGTTCAGACCACTCCAAACAGAATTGGTCAATACTAGGGAGGAGTCCTCACGCATGGTTTTTCCAATTTGTTCAAAATTTTGTTGGATGATGGACGGCAGACAATCCAGGAGATGGGCGCATACGTATGATGGAAACAACCTTGTGTTTCATTTAAGGTTTTGTATCCCATGCTGCCAAGAAAGTATGTGATGCACTGTAAGGCTCGATGTTTACGTGACATTTCATGGTCACTGACGAGTCAAACTTCATTGCCAATATCTCAATTTCATCTCTGAACTCTAGGACAGTTTTTTTGTCATTAGTTTGTAAGCCTTCCTGATTTTCAACTTGCTGTCTAGTTATCACCATTGCCTGTGTTTTGTCATCTGTCAATGTGACCTGTCATCTAATTCTCCTCGGTTGAAAATAGTAGGTAGTAAAGAGTTTGTGATTAATGAGTATTGTAGCAGTTGACATTTCTTCTTTACCATGTGTAAATGTTAGAGTGCAGTCGTCAACATAGGCTTGAGCTTCAGGAATGAGGTATAGTATATTGTAGAAATAAACATTCCCTAGTGTGAGGGGATGGTTCACCAGCTCACTTACAATAGTGCTCTTATGCCTGTGGGAGCCAGTACACTTGTTAAGTGGGCGGACTTAAGTTTGGTAACCAGCAACTGAAACATCTAGTGTTTGGGCTCATGTGAGAGCCCCAGTCATCAGCAGTCCAGAAATGTTACCCTGGCCGGGGTAGCACGTCTGTACACAGAGATATGCTGATAGCATCATCTCATTGTATGGCTTCAGCGAGACTCAACTTTGCGCGGGAACAGCTAGGCCGCAGCGTGGGTGAACTGTGGGCCTCCCGCGCGCTAGCCAGTCGTCGCCATGGAAACAGCCGCCATCTTAGTAAACATCTTGAGCCGCCATGTTGGTCGACCATCTTGGAGTTGCCCTAGGGGCTATGGTACACCGTCGCTGATTGGTTGAGAGGGGTAGGCCACTGTATGCCTTCCTCTCATTGGTTATTTCGAGGAGGACGCGGGAATCGCCTGTGTAAGCGTCATTCTGAACACAGCTGCCACTTTGTCAAGACGCTCTCTGTACTCAATTCGGCCAAATTGAGTATAGGGCGTCGTGGTGGCTTGACTACTCAACTGCTTCACCTCCTGCATCATCTACGACGGCAGTCGTCACAGAATCCGGCCGAAGTCATCGCTCGAAGGGGAGAAAGACAGAGTTTACAGTGGGTAGAGATCTTGTGATCTGGGATTGTGAGGTAATGTGCATACGAGCAGTAACAGACTCGTAGATCCCATACCAGTGATTAAAAAGAAAACGTTCCATGTAGCTATACGCTCTGTAGCAGTCGATGGGAACGAGGGAAATTCGTGCCAAGTGTTCAGGGGCAGTTTCTCAGAAATTCGTGAATAAAATCTCGAGTCAATGTTTTGGCGCCAAAAGTGTTGGGGGCGTTACGCTCACTCGGGAAGGGTGGGGAGGTCACCGCCACCTACGCCACCTACCGCCTGCCACTGCTGTGAGCGAGCCAGCCACCCGTAGCGGGGTGCCTGATGTATGGGAATGGTGTGTAGGCCGGCAGTATGAATGAGTAAGTACCTATGTGTGTATTTCTGGTGATCAGTTAGTCTCTAAAAGCTTGAATTCGAAAGTCAAGTGTTCCGTCACATTGTCATACAGCACCTGTGGAGGTGAAGTGGAGTGTGGGCGAGGAGATAATCACCCTTTATTGTCATCTTGTCAGTCCAGAGGGACTTACGTCTTGTGTACACAGACGTACAGTGTGTGTGTGTGTGTGTGTGTGTGGGTACACACGGGAACAGAGTATACATAGATTAGCCAAGGACTGAGAGGATGTCCATGTAATATTATATTATTCCATTGTGGTAAGTAAATCATTTTTGATTGTCCGTGGGACGGAGTGATATTATTTCCATGTGTAGTTTTGCATGTGTGGAATTCCATCACTGAGCGCTCAGGTTAGTGTGTGTGTAACGTATGTGATTCCTGTCAATGATTATTGTGGAGTGTACCACAGTGTGGTCTTAATTTCTTGTATTGTTCCCAGGGCTGTGACAATTGTGATTTATATATATATATATATATATATATATATATATATATATATATATATATATATATATATATATATATATATATATGACAATGTCAGACCACGGAGGAAAAATGAAACAGGAAATTTCCTTAAGTACTTTCGTATATTAAATACATCTTCAGAAGGCTCGCTTCCGGAGGACCTTCTGAAGATGTATTTAATATACGAAAGTACTTAAGGAAATTTCCTGTTTCATTTTTCCTCCGTGGTCTGACATTGTCACATTCTTAATCACGTGTTTATTTTCGTGATATACACACACACATATATATATATATATATATATATATATATATATATATATATATATGTCGTACCTAGTAGCCAGAATGCACTTCTCAGCCTACTATGCAAGGCCCGATTTGCCTAATAAGCCAAGTTTTCCTAAATTAATATATTTTCTCTAATTTTTTTCTTACGAAATGATAAAGCTACCCATTTCATTATGTATGAGGTCAATTTTTTTTTATTGGAGTTAAAATTAACGTAGATATATGACCGAACCTAACCAACCCTACCTAACCTAACCTAACCTATCTTTATAGGTTAGGTTAGGTTAGGTAGTCGAAAAAGTTAGGTTAGGTTAGGTTAGGTTGGCTAGTGTTATGATCCCAGGTAGCCGAAAAACGAGT